AACCAAAAGGAGCCCAGCCTTGCAGCCTTGAGCCAGACATCCACGGGGCAGGTGACAAGAACAGAAGAAAATGGAGGTGTGTGTGGCCCTGACTCAGAAACACTAAAGAAGAGAGCCCACTGTGTCACCTCCCCAGAGTCCCCACCTGGCGCACAACGACTGTACCTCATGCCAGCCTGAAGGGTTCCCAGGATGGCGAGGGAGCCAGGGGACACTGCCAGCAGGGCCACATGCTCGCTGACACCCATGGTCTTAACCACACAGAAGAGGCCAGCAGCCAGGTGCATACACAGAAGGCCAGGGGGTCACTACAGGGTTGGGGGAGGGGGCATCACTGGGCATCCGTCTCCAAGTGTGGGTGGCAGGCTGCTCCTGGCCAGGGAACGCTTGGTGACCTTCTCAGACTGGGACACATAGAGGCCCACTCATTTTCCTATGCCAGCAGCCAATACTTCATGGAAGCCACACCCAAGAAAGACACGAGGATCTCACATAACCAAAAAGCACACATCTGATCCCACACAAGGGGGCTGTTTTCCCATCCACAGACTACCACAGAGGCAATGGCCAGGCCCCCTCTCAGGGTAAAGATTAGTACAGCAGCAGGGCCACGATCTACACACAGACTCACCTGACTCAGGGCCCCACACGCATGCTCATCACCACAGCCTGCTACCTCTCGTGTTTACACTTAACTACAAAGTCCGATCTTCATCCCCTTCAACTATGTAAACACCACGTGTGGGAAGAGAACTCAGTCATATCAGTAACGTGTGCACTGGTGGCAAGAGATGTGACAAAAATCACACAGAGCTGCAAGGCAAGAGGCAGGTGACCAGCCTCCAGCACAGAGACATCACACCCGGGATGGGAGCCCTTGCCAGCAGGCAGTGAGGAATGGAGACTACTGGAAACGGCATGGCTTAGGGGAGCAGGTCGGGAGTAGGAGCTGTCCTGTAGGGATCGTAAGGGGTAACGTGGGCAGCATGAGGGAAGGAAAGGCAGGGCACAGTGATGTGGGGGACTGGAAGACAAAAGCAGGAAGGACCATGGGCTGATTCGCTGGGGAGCATTGACAGGTGGTCCCGGGAAGGAGGAGCTAAGAGACCCAGGAGATTGAATGCTAGGATTCAGCAGTGTGCTACAAATAGATGAGCCAATCTAATCGCTCACACGACCCTGAAGAGCACACCATCACTGTTGTCCCTCACTGTTGTCCCGTGGTATCTATAGGGTTATGGGGGGGAACCCTCCCCCCCCCAAAAAAAAACAGAAAAACCAAACACGCAGGTGTGCACGCTTTGTGGCAATCTGTACTATAATGTAAATAAGGGCAAACAGTTGATACATTGTATTGCCTAGTGAATGAATGACAGTTTAAAAAAAAAAAATCTATGCACCCTGGCAAGACCTTAGGCCTAAGTACATGCGAGCAACAATGTAACATGGAAACCTTCAATCCACTGCTGTCCATACCAGTGCGCAGAACTCAAGGCTACAGAGGTCCAACTTGTAATCAAAGACCAGACAGAGAGGGTCGAAGGGAGCACTCCTACCCGGCCAGCAGGCTTCCTGGTCTTTCCCTTTCCCTTAGGAACTGCACAGCGGTCGGCGGTTCACCGTTCTGGGCCAATCCAAAGCAAAGAGAAATCTCTCTCACTCTTCTGCCTCAAACAAACCCTCCTGGCTAGTCCACCATCCACGTTTGTTTTGTTTTTCTAGGAGACTAGAGAGAGGAGATCTGAAATGCAAATCAGCAGTGCCTGTCAAAGGTCAAGCCTGGACACAGAACTTCCTTGTTAGAAAGCAGGATGGTGTCCTCTGCCTGGAAGGGGGGGGGGGAGCCATCGAGGTGAGTCAAGACGACTAAAAGGAAGGCTAAGGATAAACAGGAGCCAGCCAGCAACCCCTCCCCTATGAGAAGCCAGGACTCCACTCCAGTTGGGCTCTCCCTATGGCTAAGGCAGCTTTGGGACCCTATTGAGAAAGGGGCCCAGCTCTGCCTGGATTTGACATCCCAGGAGCTCCTGCCCATGGAGTCAAGGTGGGGGGGTGTGTGGGCTCTGGTTCTAGAATGGCCTTAAGTTCTTGAGTCAGTTCTCTGGCACCTGTGGGTCCAAAAGAACTGGCTCATCTGGAAAGCCAGAGGCCCCGGGGCTATTAGCCTGGAGGCACAGGCCTGCGCGTGCGTGTGTGTGTGTGTGTGTGTGTGTGTGTGTGTGTGTGTGTGTGTACACGCATATGTGTCTTCGCTTTTAAGCAGACTTTTGTGACATAACCCTGGCTGCCGCTGAACTCTGTGGGCCCCCGAGACCCTCTTGCCTCAGCCTCTAAAAAGCTGGGGTGACAGGCTTGCACCACCATGCCACAGACATTTAACTTTGCAGAGCTTCATATCTGTTGCCTGGAATATAGAGATGTGGGTGTACTAAGACACCAAATCCCATCCTATGTCAGGTCCCCCAAAGCTCCAAACCCCGCAGCTTTGCCTTTTACTGGTAAGAAAGGACATGGACACAGTCTCTTATCACGGCTCTTTCTAAGTTCTTGGCTACAAACATCTTCAAACACTATGCATTCTGCTAATTAAGGGCAATTAAAGACAAAGCTAGCTCAACGCTCGCTCTCTGGCCCAATGCCCAGAGAGGAAGGGATGGGTGTAGGGTAGAAGGAATTCTGACCCAAGGGAAGGGTTGCAGGAGGAAGGCACAGGAAGCTGCAGAGCCTCTGGGAGCCCCACCCCCTCATCAAAGCCCTCCTCCCAGTTCCGGGCCTGCACCCAACATCCAGATTCCACAGGCGCTCCTCCCACACACACACACACACACACACACACACACACACACACACACACACCCACCATGTAGCAAAAGGCAGCCCATTACTGCCCCCAGGAGTCAGAGTCTGCAGCCTTGGGATCTAAATCTGGGATACAAGTTACCTAAAACTAAGAGTGGAAGAGTGAACTTGTCGTGGTGTGAGCCACAGGGATCTGGCAACTGCTGCAGCTACCACTTTGATTTCTGCAGGACAGGGTTTCTTCTTCTCCTCCTCCTCTTCCTCTCCACCCCCACACGCATAGCATCTTCACAAATAATATAGCCCTGCTCAAAGTGGAAGACTCCCTTCCCTTCACCCTAACGCAGAGTCCAAAGGGAGAGCAGACATACTTCTAGGGCTTCTTCAAGGGTTTATGCCAAGGACCACAGAGCACAGCACTGAACAGAAAGCCTGATCCGTTTCAGACCCCCCCTCCCATCCTTCCTTCTTCCTTCCTCCTCCTTCCTTCCTTCCTTACTGGCCTTGATCCTCCCACAAGAAAACAGACTTTTCTTTGTAAAGACTAACCGGTGGTTAAGAGCATTTGTTGTACCTGCATATGATCCCAGGTTCAGGTCCTAGCTCCCACATGGTGGCTCACAACCATTCATAGGCATGAACGCGATATATATATATATATATATATATATATATGTATGTATGTATACAAAACACTCATACACATAAAATAAACATATCTTTAAGTTAGTAAAAGTTTGTGAACAAAATACCTGAAAATTTGTTTGCTGCGTTTACATATTTATATTCAGTGACTGGTTCAGATGGGCAAAGAGAAAGCAGCCAGGATTTTTGGCAAAGAGGAGCCAAGATGACTTTGGTGTCCCCGGAGTGAATACAGTAACTGATGACTACATCTTAAGGGAATTTTTAAAAATGTCATTATTTCACGAGTCTGGGAATCTGCCTGCATATCCCTAAGCACTCATGCCTGCCTGGTGCCTGTGCCCAGAGAGGGAGTCAGAGCCCCCAGAACTACAATTACAAGTGGTTGTGAGTCTCCACGTTGGTCCTGGGAACCAAACCCAGGTCCTCTGCAAGAGCAGCCAGTGCTCTTGACCACTGAGCTGATTCCAGCCGTAAGAACACTTTAGGTGAGCACAGCTACAAGCCGGCCACAGTCTCACACAGCAAGCACACCTCACATGAACCAACTGGCCCAGCAAGCTGAGTATCCATTCCCAAGAAGAGATGCTTTGAGTTCAAAAGTAGCAGGCTGTCAAACGCAGGATGCAAAACAGAGGCCATCATGCAGGGATTATTAAACACAAACAGGAACTTCTGGAAGAAAATGTATCAGGGGCCGGAGAAAGGGCAGGGCAGAGCAAAGTTGCTTGCTGTCAAGCTTTGGGACCCACATGGGAGGAGAAGATGATTGCTCCAAATTGTGCTCGCTCTCTCTCTCTCTCTCTCACACACACACACACACACATACAACAACAACAACAACAACAACAAAACAACAAAGAGAAAATGAAGTAAGGTGCAGAAAAAGGAATTACTTGGCTCCTTTTCCAAATGATATGTTAAGCAGAGAGCTGGGCGTGTCATTTATCGGTAGAATATTTGCTTAGCATGCTTGAGGCCCTATGTTTAACCACCAGCCCTTCCTCCCACCTAAAGCAATGCATAGCTAAACGTGTATGACTTTATGACTTAACTTTTTCATTTACTGCGGTGCTGCGCATAGACCCAAGGCTTTGTGCATGACAGGCGAGGGCTCTGCCACTGAGCCACACCCCCAGCTTTTTATTTGTTTAGAGGGGTCTTGCTAAGTAGTCCAAGCTGGTTTCCAACTCACAGTCCTGTCTCAGTGAGATTACAGGTGTATGCCACCACATCCAACTCAACATATACGATATTTCTTCTTTTTCTGGGGCAAGTCCTCACTATGCAGCCCAAGCTGGCCTGCAAACCTCCTACCTTCATCAGCTGCTGGACTGCACGTGTGTACTAACATCTCACCACGTAGCCTGGCCTCAAACTCAGAGATCCACCTCCCTCCCAAGTGTGGAGATTACAAGCATACAGCACCATTCCCGGCTTCCATTAAGACAGGGTCACAACACAGGTGACACTTCAGACTTCGCAAGCAAGCGCAGTTAACCCTGCCCCTTACCTGCCTGCTTGTGAGATCTAAGGGCAAACACTAGTGGCCTCACCTGAGGTTCAACTTCCGCTCCTCATCGCTGCCAGCCTCCAGCTGCGGAGAGAGGAAGAGAATGTTAACTCCACAGCCTCAGCTGTCAGCCCTGACAGCAGGCTCCCCGGGGAGAAGATAAAGGGTTCCAGGAAGGAAGGTTTGACACACCCAGGCCCTCTCCTTGCCAACCTGATGTGTTGTCCCTCTGAGTCACCCCACCACGTTTTCAGGGTTCCCAACGTTCATCCCATTCTTGCCACAGTCTATCAGCAGCTGCCAGCGAGCTGAACCCCAATGAGGCAGTGCTGACCAGCGTTTTTCCAGCCCTTGGCTCTCCGACACACTGGCTCTGAGCCTTACTTTGGTTTTGCTTTTAAGGGAAACAGGGCAATGTTTTAAGGAGATCTATGTCTCTGTCCAGCCAGGCATTACTAGTAAATCCATCTTAAAAATCCATTGCATAGCTGGACGGACTTGTGTTTTTAAAGCAACCATTGATAGAAGAGAACCCAGGAGCTGCATGATGGCCAGGACTGACACAAGACAGACTGGGGACAATGCAGCCAGAGGTCAAGGACAATAGGGAATGGATCCAGAGCTAAGGTAGGGAGGGCACTGGGCAACAAGGGGTATAGAGCAAGAGGTAGCAACTTCAACCAAGAACAAGCACACCTTAAGGCCCCAGCATCCGCCTTAGACACAGATTCTGTGCACACTTTACAGATACACACACTACAAACGGACCATATTTGCTCCTGGGCTGTGAGAGAGAAGTAGGAAAGGCTCCACAGCACAGGGCCAGAGGGAGGCAACCTAGTAGCATCAACACATGAACATTTGGTCACCAAAGGCCCCTGGGCCGTTTTTTTGGACGGTGCTACTGGCATCCAGTGGTTGGAACACAGGATGCTGCTATGGCTCTGGCTGAGTGACATCAAGGCTGAGAAACCTTGGCCAGCCCAGTGTCTGGAGACCTGCCTGTGTAGGGGGAGGGGAGGCTTTCACATCTGTCAGAAACAATGTTACTAACACTCTAGGAAGGATGTTGTATCCATTTCTTGCCCTCCCCCCCTTATTCTCAGAAAGGAGATCAGAGAAGGTTAACAGAAGACAAGCATGTGGTAATTAAAGATCCAGAAGGAAAGAAAGGTGTGGGAAGGACAAAATTAGACTACAGGATTGCTGAAGGGACACGGGCTGTGATTTCGATTGCTTTCCCAGGCTTGAGGCTAGCCTTGCTGAGTCAGGAAACTACTGTGTCCCTGACTCAGAACAGAAGTGGTGTTTTGGTAAGTGGTGGCAAGTGGGGGGGGGGTTCTGGGCTTCGCAGTCATTTCTTGGTCACCCTGAGGTTCTCCACTGAAAGGTGATATAAGGTCAGGATACCAGAGAGGAGACAGCAAAGACCGCCATGCTCAAGAAGCAAACCAGGCCTCAAAAACCAGCGGGGGGGGGGGGGAAGGGGGCAAGTGGAGGAGGGGTGGGCAAGAGGCACAGCCAATCTGGACCCAGGTTTCCCAACTCAAGGCACACCTGCTGCCTCCTCTCTGCCTCGTTTCCAGCCTCAGCACATCTGGAAGGCAACCTTGCCATCCCAGGAACACCCCAGCCCATTCTATGAACCAAAGGAACGCTGTCTGGGATTTTAGAGTTGGTTTGTTTTAGTGTGTGTGTGTGTGTGTGTGTGTGTGTGTGTGTGTGAATGGCATGTGTTCACATGTGTGTGCACGTGTATGTGTACTACTGTGTGAGGATGCTGGAGACTAGGATGCTATCTTCCATATTGAGTCAGGGCCTTCTCAACAAACCCTTTCCTAATCCCACTAGTCTGGCCGTGTAGCTCATTCTGGAAATGTATGTCTCCACCCTTCACACCCCTGGGATTCGTTCAGCATTCGCCATTTCCCAGTCCTTTGTTGAGATTTATTCTGTTAATTGGTCACTGGGACTTGGTTTTAAAAGTTGTCTTATATAGTCAGGCAGTGGTGGTGCATGATTAATCCTAGCACTAGGGAGGCAGAGGCAAACATATCTCTGTGAGTTCAAGGCCAGCCTGGTCTACAGAGTGAGTTCCAGGATAGCCAGGGATACACAGAGAAACTTTGTCTCAACAAAACAAAAAAGCCTTATATAATAATTTAACGTGTAAGGCATGGAACATGTAAGGCATGGACAGGGTTGCAAACTTGCTGCCTTTCCAGAGGACCTAAAATCAGATGCCAGCAGCACCCACAGCCTGAAGCTCACAAACCCCAGTACCCCTAGCTGCACAGGATCCAATGTCCTCTTCTGGTCAGAGGGTACCTGCACTCATGTGCACATAGCCATACAGACAAACACACACATTAAAATCAAACAATTTTTTTTGAAAAAAAATGTGATCTGGGCATGTAATACAGTAGCTGGAACACACAGGGCCCTGGCTCAACACTTTAGCACTGGAAAAATAATAAAACAATAAAAGCATCCTGAAAACCCTTTACCTCCATGTAATGGATTATTTTAATGGATTATTTATTCACTCATAAAAATGATACATTGACATGGCACAATCTGGGTAAACCCTGAGACCACTGTACCGAGGGGGAGATGCCAGACAAAGGCAATAATACTGTGTTTCTGGATATATGAAATACTCCGAATACACAAATGTAGAAACAGTAGACGAGGGGCCGCCTGGAGCAGGGGTGGGGTGGGGGGTGGGGTTGAGGCAAAGACTTCTACAGGTGGCGACTCGGGAGGGCGGGGCAGCTGAAAAGCTTCTGGACTTAGGGGTGATGGGTCATGGTCTTGTGTCTCCTAAAACTGAATTACATACCCCCAAAGGTAAATTCACAGGCCGTGAGTTACATCTCAACTTAAAAAAAAAAAAAAAAAGGCTTAAAACCTAAAAAACCGTGTCTAAGGTAGGAACAGGAAGTGATCAGGTGTTAAATTACCAAAAACAATATGGAAGTTGATCAGAAATCCAGAGAGAAAGCCAGGTGCGGAGGGCACTTCTAAAATGCTCCGCAGTACCGGGCCAACCAGAGCTACACGGTGAGGCGGAAGAAAAGAGGGAGGGAGGGAGGGAGGGAGGAAGAGAAATCTAGTCCCTCCCTGAAGCCACTCTTCCTACAAAACTGTAGGAAGAGCATGAGATGCAGGGAATAAAAAGTACTTTGTAAACTGATGGGAGAAACGAGCTGTGTGGGAACAGAGTCTCTACTACAATCTAACTTCTCAGTTGCCCTGACTAATTGTGTGCGTGCAAAAAAAAAAAAAAAAAAAAAAAAAAGGGAGGCAACCAAAACCGTCTGCCTGGAGATAAAACTCATGAAAAGAGGCTCAGACAGAAGAGACCCTGGAGGCTTAACCTCACAGCCACTCAGCAAACGTGCCTGCCAGTCCCGGCAAGACGAGACCAAAACTCAGCACTACGGGGACACGGGGCCGTTTGAGCCGGTGCCTCATGCGGGCACACAAACCGGGAACAGGGCCCACACTCCAGCTGGCAGCTTCCTGGGCCCGCGGGGCTGCTCCAAGCCCAGCGGGGCGTCCCCTGCAGCAGGCTGGGTCTTCAGGGGGTTTACTCGGAGGCCTCAGCTTCATCGGGGGTTGGGGTGGGGGGTGAGACGGGCTGGGGCAGCGCAGCCTAGAGCAGGCCGTCCGTCCTGGGGACCCGGGCGCGCCAGTCCGCATCTACCCCGACTCTCAGCAGCATGGAGCCCAGGCCGCGAGTGCACCCTGGGACCGCGAACCCAGAGCCAGGCGGAGGCTTTCCCGGTGCCTGGCGCGCTGGCAGCATCCCCCGCGACCCCGACCCCGCGCATGCTCAGTCACCGGGACGCGGGGACGCCCGCACCCCAAGGGCGGACGCGCCTCCGCTTCACACCTTGCGGGAGGGCGCGGCCGGGCTCACCTCGCTGTTGCTGGCGGAGGACGATGCGGCGCTGGGCGTGGGAGAGCGCTGCAGGGTCACCAAGGCCATCGCGGCGCGGGCCCGGCCCGGGGCCTCCAGCAGCCGGCCGGGCAGCCGCGCCGGGCCCGCCCCTCCTCCCTGCCCCTCCCCCTCCTCCCTCCCTCCCTCCCTCCCGCGTCCGCCCCCGCCCCCGCGTCCTCCCGGCCCGCAGCGCGCAGGCAGCGATGCGCATGCGCCGATGGCCGGCCTGGGGCGGGCCCAGGGGCGCGGTCACGTCCACTCACTGGTGCGCGCCCCCGCGCTGGTTGCTGCACTCCAGCCTGGGCCCGGTTGCTCTGCTCGCCCACACCGTGGGGGGAAACTGAGGCCCGGGAGGCCTGCAGGGCCAAGGCTTTGTAAAAAACGCACTCGTTTGTTCTTCCAGGAAAGTTACCCCGCTCCCATTAATTGCGGGGCCCCGAGTATCTCCGGGACTGTGAAATCCGCTTGCAGAGTTACTTTGCACGGGCTTGGGGTGCAGCCCAGTAGCAGGGTGTCCAGCACGCTCAAGGTCCTGGATTCCAGCCCCAGCAGTACCAGGAGCTAATCTAATCTATGTATCCCCTCTGGTGTCTAGAAAGCCAGCGAGCCCGGTGAGGTGAGAAAAGGCTTCCCTATGGAGTAGTGCTGGCTGGAAGGCAGGATCAGTGAGCGGGATTAACTGGGAAGGGAGAGAGAAGCCCTCTGGCAGGAAACTAGGGAGGGCAGGAGGGAGGAGTGGGCTTTGGCTTTGGAAAGATCGCCAGTGGACCTGCCTAGCCATGAGGTGGAGGGAGTGCAGGATGAGGTACCCAGCGCCTTTAAGGGGTGGAGGGACCCCAGCAAGGTGGTACTGGGTGACTTGGTAGCAACTCCTCTTTCATACAGCCCCCACCCTACCCTAGTCATCTGTGTGATGCCCAGGCCTTGCTGGTCATAAATCTCCAATCCCACTCCTGCACCTGGGGTTTAATAGATGGCTCCACCTTCCTCCTCGATGCCCAAGTGGAAACCCAGAAAACCATCTGTGCCTCTTCCAGGTCCTGGGGTTATCAATAGTCCAGGACCTTAAAAAGGATGTCTTTCTTCTGAACGTTTCATTTATTACTGGACAGTGGTGGCGCACGCCTTTAGTCCCAGCACTCGGGAGGCAGAGGGAGGCGGATCTCTGTGAGTTCGAAGCCAGCCTGGTCTGTAAGAGCTAGTTCCAGGACAGCCTCCAAAGCCACAGAGAAAAAAACAAAACAAAACAAAAGAGTGAGTCAAATAAACCCTTTCCTCCCCAAACTGCTCATGGCCATGGTGTTTCACCACAGCAACAGAAACCCTAAGGGAAAGGTGCCTGGAATTTTCAAATGTCTCCCCAGTTCCTGACCCCAGCCAGTTCTAATGCTCTTGGTTTTACTTCTGGCTACATAATTGCTGGTCCCTACACCCTTCCTGTGTATGGGACTAAAATCCTCTTCCTGTTGCCCTCTCTTGCTACTTGATCCGATCACAGAGCCCCTCTCAAGTCCATCCCCACCCCTTCTCACTTCCTCCTTCAGCAAAAAAGTTCCTGCCCCACAGTTAGAGATCCCCTTTGCAGAGAGAGCCTCCTCTGCCCTCAGTGTCCTTTCCACATTACAGCCCTGCTCCCTGCCCCCAACACCAACCTGCATCTCCATTACATCTGTATTCATCCTGTGCCTCAGGCGCACGACCCTGAGAAAGGTATCAGAGAGGAGGCTGGGACTGGGCTGGGGGTGTGTGTGGCACCAAATGCTTAGGGACATATTCTCGTAATTTCAGGGACAACTACTGTAAGTGGTTTGTTATTGTTTTCATTTTTGCGTATGTGTGTGTCTGTGTGAGGGTTTGTGCGTGTAAGTGCCCGGAAGAGGGCACCACATCCTCCGGGGTTGGAGCTACAGGCAGTTGCCAGCTGCCCAGCTCTGGTCCTTGGCAAGAGCGGCAAGCACTCTTAATGGCTGAGCCATCTCTCCAGCCCGAGATGGCATTCTAGGGTAGCAACATTAATACATAAATCTGCAAGGAACAAAGCACCAAAACTTAAATAGAATCAACACCAAGTTTGTGATTTTTTTTTTTTCTTCTACCCCAGGGTCCTATATGCTCAACAAGGCACTTAGTTGGTTTGATTCTGTCTTGAGTTAAGTCTTGGTCTTGGGGGCTGAAGAAATGACTCAGTGGTGAAGAGCACTAACTTCTCTTGCAGAGGACCTGGGTTCGATTCCCAGCTCCCACATGGCAGCTCATAACCATCTGTAACTCCATTCCCAACGATCTAATACCGTCTTCTGGCCTCCTCAGGCACCAGATATTCCTGTGGTACACAGGTGTGCATGCAAACAAAACACCTAACACATAAAATAAAATTTTTAAAAGATGGAATCTTTTGTTTTTGAATAAACAAAGATTCATATTAAGGAAAAGTGGGAAAGAACCCCAGGAGTGAGAGAGGCTTCAGGGAGAAAAACTCTAAATGTTTGATTCTGCTAACCCTCCCATGGAGAGGAGGTGGGAGGAGGTAAAGGAACAGATTCCCAGCATTCTCCATGACTCTGTCCATGCAACTTCCAAGGAACCTGGAGGAAACCAGTTGGCAGGAGTAACTCCGGAGGCTCTGAGGCTCTTTGCATCCTGCAGATTTCCTTTCTGTTTTTTTTAATTAGAACTTGTTAATCATGTTTGACCTCAGCAAAGTTTCACTAAATGACCCAGCCTAGCCTTGAAATAGTGATCTTCCTGCCTCTTCTACCAAAGTACCGGGATTACAGGCATGAGCCACCATGCCTAACAAGTTTCACAACTTCTAAAAGTAGTGCTGCGGGGCTAAGGAGATAGGTTAGTTTGCACTGTGCCTAGCATACAAGCCTGCGGGCCTGAAGTCTGTACTGTGCCTAACATGCAAGAATGAGGGTCTGGGGTCTGTACTGTGCCTACCAGGCAATCATGAGGAGCTGGGTTTGGATCCCAGCACCCACATAAAACTGGGTGTAGGAACATTCGTCTATAACCCTAGACTCAGGGTTGAGGGAGTAGACAAGAAAATCCATGGAGTTCATTAGCCTAATAGAATTCCGTGAGAGACCCTATCTCAGAAAACAAGGTAGGTGACCAGTGATGGAGGGAAATCTTACGACCTCTGGTCTCCCCATATGTGTAAACATACCTGCACATGTGCATACTACCACATGTGTGTAAACATACCTGCACATGCATGTACCCCTACATGATGTTACTGAGTGGTCAGCTCTCACTCACTTAGGTGTTAAAATGAAGCATTGCTTGGTACCTGTGTTAGAGATGCTGTTTGGCAACAGGTACTTTCACCATCACCACAAAACCTAACTCCCCCCACCCCATCAGTCCTCCAGGAAGCCTTTCCTGGCTGTTGGCTGGATCTACGTGCTGTAGTGTTTGGGGCCTGCCCTGTGTTCTGGTTCTTTATTTTGTTCTGTATTTTTGAGACAGGGTCTCACTCTGTAGCCCTGGCTGTCCTAGAACTCACTTTGTAAACCAGGCTGGCCTCGAACTCACAGACATCTGCCTGCCTCCCAAGCACTGGGACTGAAGTCCTACACCCTTGGGTCTGGCAGGAGACATCAGTTTTTGTCATCCTGCTGTGAACTCTCATGAGTGAGGAAGTAGCAACTCAGAGCGGTTAAGCTTCTCAGTAAAGGTCACAGAACCAGGAAGGGGTGAAGCCCTCGACTCTGCCTCAGAATTCAAACAATGGTCATATCCCCTCAGGACAGTTTAGGAAGGGGAAGGTACGGGAACTGATAGTTTTACATTTTAGGAGCAAATGGTTTGCAATTTCTCCTTTAACTACTTGCTCAGCAATGAATTTCCAAGTTAATACAGTCCTAGAAGGCTGAATCACAGCCCATAAAAATATCCATGTCCCAGGCTGGATGTTGGTGGCGAACGCCTTTAATCCCAGTGCTCAAGAGGCAGAGGCAGGTGAACTTCTGTGAGTTTGAGGCCAGCCTTGTCTACAGAACGAGTTCCAGGACAGCCTCCAAAGCTCCACAAAGAAACCCTGTCTCAGAAAAAGCAAAAAGTGCATATGCCAGGCCCCAGAACACAGAACAGAGCACCTTTCAGAGTCGTCAATGCACAGCGTGTTTAATGTTGAATGAGTGTAGGCATGCTGCCTCACAGAGAAAAAGGGATGGTCCTGCGGAGGCGGTGACATTAGGTAGGGTGTTTGGATGGGGTTTGAATGGTAGGCCCGACAGTCCATTCTGTGATGGTTCCCCCAGCCTGTGAGGGTGGGGGCGGGGAGGGAAGTTTATAGGGAAGTTGGGGCTGAGTTCTCAGCAGTCTCTTGTTAATAATCTATTATTCTCAGCACTTTGGCCAGTTAGGAGTCTCTGCATTCAGTGCTGGCCATCACACGAAGAAGCATCCTGAGTCATGGGCTTTTGACCAAGTTTGCAGCGTGAAACCTCCAATCTTCCCTGTGACAGGCTCAGATCCATTGCAAAAGCAGTTAGCGACCTCCATAACCCTTGTGCCCTGCCCACCAAGGAGGGGGGTTTCAGGTCAGTTTCAACCTGATTGCTCTGTGTCCTGCAACCAAAGTGTGTTGTCTCTTAGCCACTGGTCTTACCGTCCAGTTCTGGTGGGCAGTCAAGAACAACAGTAGCCTGTGTAGTCCTGGAAGCCTACGTCACCTCTGAGACCACTAACTCATAAGGAGGTATCCCATAATAACCCACGTCATCTGAGGGACAAATTGCCCATCCATTCAGGGTCCCTGTGTCCAAATCCTGTCTAGTCAAAAAGTAAATAATTATACGTTTTAAGGAAATCTATATAATCTCTGATGTATCTGAAGATGGAGGTTTCTGTCACGCCAGGTCCTGCAGCTGTTCAGCCCCAAATAAACACACGGTCGCTATATTAATATTTAGACTGTTTGGATGGCTTAGCTAGCTCTGTCTTAATTATTAGCCCAATTTTTATTAATCTATGTGTTGCCACGAGGCTGTGGGCTTACCCGTGATCTGGCATGTTACTCCTTTGGCAGCATGGCCTCTCTTTACTGCCCTCTCTTCCTTCTCCCCCACATTCTCTTCATCTGGCCTCATCTGGTAGCCCCGCCAGTACTTCCT